TCAACATCTTCATTGTCGGTTAACAAATAAACTTTACCATTTCTCTGATAAGATAGCCTAAATCCACTTAGGAGCTCTAAATTCAATTTATTTGCAACACGTAACATTAGAGTTTCATAAGTTAACTTTTTTAATGACAGTTTTAGTTGAAGATTCATAGGTAAAGGCATATATTGTAAAGTGTTCATGGTGTTTAAGTGCTCCTTCATTAAAGTAGATTCTGGCATCCGAAGAGTGTACAATTTCCTCTTAAGGAAAATTTTATTGTGCAACGATGTGGCCTCTTACAGTTTGGTGAGATAATTTCATATCTCCTTAGTTATCTTCTTCTCCTCGATGCTTGACAATACTTCATCGGCTAATACTAGATGAAAGTTTGCCATAACATTCCCGTCCATTTCGATCCATTTGTTGTCATCTGTGAAATCTATCGACCTTTCACTGATAGCTTCTAGACAACCGTCTTTCCTCAGAATGTCCTTCATCTTCAATTTCCACAGTGAGAAATTTCTCCTATTGAACTTTTCAATATCAACTTTCGTTGCCATAACTTTTATTACGGATAGCTCCCACTATTTCACTATCGTAAATAGTTCTCTGGAACCTTCAAAGAATGGGTAATACCTTCTTACTTTCTAATGTTGGAGGATCCACCTTTTGGTGGCAACCACAAAGACAATAAGTATATATTACACACTATAATCTGGCTCTTGATACCAATTGTTGCGAAATACAGCTATCGGATAGAGCAAAATCACAACTGATAATTTGAGAAAATAAAAATAAAGATAAAGAAGACACAAATTTTACGTGGAAAACTCTTAAATAATATAGGATAAAAACCACAGACAACGATAGAAGAATTTCACTATGAGAAAATAGGAATTACAATTTCGCTCGATCTAACAATGAAAAAACAATAACAAATCTCTCTTGATAAAATGAGAAAACAACTCTCAAGAAAACTCTCTAAATTCTTTAGTATTTGGAGAAAGCTAGAATGATTTGGGATGATTTTGAAGCTAAATGGGTTAAGATATTTATATTTGAAGCTTAAGGACTAATCTTATAAATACTCTAAAATACAGGGACTAAATATGTAATTTTACTATCCACTTTTTCAACAATTACGGTAAAATTGTTTTTTATTTTTCAACTTTCGGTGCGACCAATTTTCAACAAGCATACCATTGCTTTCCTCCTTAAAAAAGGCATTAGGCAAGCAGACCATCTCTCTTTTTACCTCTTCGTTCTTGCTATGGAACGTCGCGGTCACAGCATATACTCGACAGTTTCTTCTCGCATCTGGCAACCGTTTCACTTTTTTCGGAATGGCACTCCGTTTTCCATCTTTTCTTTGTACATAATCTTATCCTTTATGCCAAGGCTAATATGGACCAAGAAAATACTCTTGACGCTATCCTAACTAAGTTTGGTTACTACTTCTAGGCATTATGTCAGCAAACGAAAAACTCAAATTTATTTTTTACCCCCCACAGACTCTGAGTTAAAGTCCCCAATTATCTAGACTGGGCTTCCGGATTGTTGATTCTCTTGGCAAGTATTTTGGTGTCCCAGTTACTCATAAAAGAATGTGGTTCTCGGACTATGACTTTATCTTTGAAAAGATGAAAGCTCGGTTGAATGGTTGGGTCGTTATATCTCTTTCCCTTACCAGTCACATTACTATCGCCAAGTCCGTCCTCTTTGTCATCCATATCTATTTCATGCAAACGTCTCTCCTCCCCAAAAACATTTGCAATAAAATTGAAAGACTCCTTTGGAATTTCATTTGGAGCTCATCCTCTAATGCTTCTAAGGTTTCTCTTGTTAATTGGGATTCTCTTTGTTAACCCCTAGCTTGTGAGGGCTTTGATTTTCACCGTGTTTTCGACCATAACAAAGTGTTCATCATGAAGGTCGGGTTTACCTTCATCACTAAATCGGACATGCTGTGGGTTCGGTTCATACGCCAAAAGCATTAAGTGTTTGATAGAATTTCGCTAGACATTCATCGAAATAGATCATTCTTCTTTTGGTGCTCTCTCACCAAGGTTTGGCCCGAGCTTCTTCCGAATGTTGCTTGGAGCCTGGGTAATGGCAATCAGATTGATATTTGGAACGACAGTTGGGTTTACTCTTTCGGTCCCTTACGTGATCACGTCTTTCATAACGACTGCATGGATGTGTTTATTCGCATATTTGATCTCACTGATGAGTCTAGGAAATGGAACATTGACATTTTCAACTCTATTTTTACTCAAGATGCTATCCCCCATATCCTCTCTGTTAGATGCCATTCTACTTTCGATATTGATGATACCTGCCACTAGAGATCGGGTACCAATCATAAGTTTGAAGTTAGCTCAGCGTACAAGATCCTTGTCTCCCACCTCTGGAATGAAACTAATCCTATATGGAGATATTTCTGGAATCTCCATATCCCTTTACAGATCCGGTTCTTTAATTGGTTAGCCTCTCAATAAAAAATCATGACTAACATGGAGCGTTTCAAACGTTCCTTATCTAGTGACCCCACATGCAAGTTTCGTGGCTCTACTCAGGAAACCACCATTCAAGTGTTGAGAGATTGCCCCCATGCAGCGATTGTTTAGCGTCAAATACATCTTCCCTCATCTCAACCTCACTTTGGACCTTCGGTCTTCAAAATTGGCTTTCCACCAATCTTTGTTCTCATGCTAGTTATGCTTCCCGGAATGATCCGAACACCCCTTGGAATCTTTTCTTTGCCTCTCTTCTCTGGAGTATTTAGAAGAGCAGAAATGATTATGTCTTCAATGGCTCCCCTAACTCCACCACTTCAATTATCCAAAGAAGTGTTGTTTGGGCAAATCACTATCACCAGCATTGCTCTCTCACGCCCCACAACGACAGTCACAAACGGACTAAACCTGCTCATTGGTCAAACCCTCCCCAGCGTTGGATAGCTCTTAACCCCGATGACTCTATCAACACTTCCAATGGCAAAAGCTCGATCGGTTGAATTTTCAGAAATGACAGTGGCTCTTGGACCTCCGGTTTCTCTCATTCCATAAGCATCGCGGATCCATTACAAGCTGAGCTTTGGGTAATTCACGATGGTTTAAACATTGCTTGGTCCCTTGGTTTTGAATTTTTGCAGGTTCAATGGCATTGCTCTTTGGCTGTCTCCCTCATCAACTCTTCTGACGCCTACACCAGTAATCACTTCCTGGTTCAGACCATTGACTCTCTTCGACACCATAGATGGGCAACTGAAATCACTTGGATACCTTGTGCAACCAACAAAATTGTTGACTCTTTGGCAAAGCTCGGTTCTCAATAACTCTATGATCTCACCATCTACAACGACCCCCTTGTGTCAATCATCCATCTCCTATCTCTGGAGGCTGCTGCTCTCATTGTTCATCCGATGGAGTTATTTTAGCTAGTCTATTTTCCTTTCTATTAAAAAAGTGATTAAAAGTTTAAAACATAATTGACTCAAAAAAGTTAATAATTTTCTAAAATCTAAGTTAATATGATTAAAGTCTTTTTAAAAAAATTTAAAATCAAATCGATTCTAAATGATAATTTTTAAAAATTTAAGTTGAGATTTTTTAATAGAAGATGTAAGTATTATTGTGAAAATATTCGAAATTGCAATAAGATTTTATAACTATCATCGTAAATTAAATACATTATTTTGACTTTTCCTATAACATTGAAACTAGCTACTTTAGATCATATAATGACCATACATGGAAAATGTTAAAACCCCAACCAAAATATTTAAACAAAAATAGATACAAATAAATCTAATTACATTGGAAACAAACCACAAAATAGAATTAAACTATTGAAAAACCATTGAGAATCGTAAATCAGAGCCAAGCATAAGGATAAACTATTCACGAATGCAAAATCGTGCATCCAAATTCAATTCAAAGATTCAAACCATGGAAGATCAACAAGATTTCAAATAAGTATCATCCTTGATCATTCGTGACGTCGTCAAATCCAACCTTAAGAAAACATAAATAAAAGATTGGTCAAACGACAAGAAAAAAATAAAAAACGTGCCATAAGACAGAGATAAACGTGCCACAAATACAAAGATAAATGTGCATTAAAGGCATAATTATTCTTATTAAAAAAAACAAAGAGTAAAAAGAATCGATGGTCGATAACCAGCATTAAAACCGATGTCGTCACTGGCTAAATAAAATCATAGAAGAAAAAATTGATCTAATCCATAAAAAACGACACAAATTCAAAGCAAAAAAGTTGGAGGAAGGAGAGAGCGGTTAGGGAAAGGGGAGAGCGGCCTAAGTCGAGTTAAAAATATATGTTGATAATTTAAAAATAAAATAAACAAAAATTTTATCATTTTGATTACCGCCACTATAATTAAATTTTTGTTTAACCAATATGGAGTAGAGTTTACCTCAATACTTAACTCCAACAATGAGACTTGGAATCTTGGAGGGACATGTAAAAAAAGGAAATTGGTCATTGAACAATGATTTTATACCTAATTTCTTTAAAATAAAACTTCCTAATTTTCAATTTTTTTAAACATTTCACCACCTTCGAAAAGCACCAACCCCAAAACTTCTAAAATCCAAAAAGAAATATAGAGATTAGAGAATGAACCAGAAATGGGAGCAGCAGATTGTTGTTCTTTGACAACCTTCTCCATGATTGTTCGTATATGCTAATCATATCCATTGCTAATAAAATGTTAAGCCAAGCTATGGTTGAAACTAATTATATATTTGAATTAATTTAGGGATAAAATTGAAAGATTAAAAAATTTAAGAATCAATTTCAAATGAGTGTCTAGGGATAAAATTAGAATGTCTAAAATTCTAAAGACTAATATATAAAAATCATAAATTAAGAATAATGTTGAATTATTAAAAAGTTTAAAAATTAATTTAGCATTAACATAATTTAGAAACGCGTGAAAAAGAAATGATCTTATAAATTGGAATCTTTAAGAGTGGAGAGGGGAAAGGTTTTTCTAGTGAGTTGACTTGGTCAACATCAATTGAAGATATACACAAAAGAAAGAAAAATCAAGTGAAGAGTTGATCAGTGCAGAGCATCCACATGGAACACGTACAAGGACCTCCTCCTCCGGCGGCACCCAGTGCTTACTTTCCGATGGCTCATCCCGTCTCGGTCATCGGTCCTCAATACTGCTACCCTCAGCCGGTAGATCTGGCCGTCGTCCGCAAGGTTCTGGCCATAACCGAGGGCAACTTTGCCGTCACCGACATGAATGGCAACATCATGTTCAAAATCAAAGGAAAATTCCTCAGCATCCACGACCGTCGAATCCTCACCGATGCCGCCGGAAACCCCATTTGCACTCTTCGACCCAAGGTTTTCTTTTCCTCGTTACAGTCCTGTGTGTAAAATTTGTAATGATCGGGAATAAAAAAGATCTGAATGGATTCTTTTTTTACAGATCATGACTGTTCATGATAGGTGGCAAGTATTCAGGGGAGAAAGCACGGAAGATAAAGATCTGATATTCACTGTGAAGCGATCTTCCATGATCCAATTCAAGACCAAGCTGCATGTGTTCTTGGCGAGCAACCCAAAAGAGGATGTTTCTGATTTCAGAGTGGAAGGGAGCTGGCTTGAAAGATCCTGCACCGTTTATTCCGGCGAGTCTAACACCATATTGGCTCAGGTAATTACTACATTTAAGACCCTCTTCGGTGAAATCTAATAATACGTCCTGTTTCTAGTCTCAAAATCAAGTCTAGCTCTAAAAACACTTTTAAAAAGCATTGCAGAACGGGATGAGATCTGCATATGTAGAGTATATAAGCATAAAAACGAGCATACACGCAACGGAAAGATCGAATATCAATGGATGTTAAATTTAGGACCCTCATCTTCGGATCTAATCACATACGTCCCTACATACGTATATGTATAGGCTTAATGAGATCGACATATGTACATGTTTGTGTGGGGGAATATATAATACATATGAGCACTGCAGATGCACAAGAAGCACAGTGTTCAAAGCGTGTTGCTTGGGAAGGACAAGTTCATGGTGACGGTGTATCCCAATGTGGATTATGCGTTCGTGGTGGCTCTCATTGCCATCCTTGATGGGATTAACAAAGACGACGACGACATTGTCGAGTGATCATCACTCATCGCAACCAAATGTTCTGCATATATATATTATCTCTGTTAAAACTACAGGTAAATTAGCTGTGTTATGTGATCAGTTAGAATAAAGGCAGGCGGCAACCTTCTGCTTGATTCAACTATAATGTGTTGTTATGTATTTACCTGTCTTACTTGTCAGCTTACAGTGCTGTAACATTTTAAGATGCAACCCTGTTATAATCTTAGTTTGTGTGATCTTCAGTTAAAACCATGTCTAATTGACTGCTCAATGCTGTATTTGTCCTCAAAATGTGATGGATTTTTTTAAGTAAAAAAAGTTTTACGAGTGATCTCATATAAAATGATTGGTAAAGGTCAGCGGCGGAGCCATGGGGGCTGAGCGCCACTGCCGCTAATTTTTCTTTAAGAAATATAGGGATAAATATCTATTTGGACCTTTAAATTTTGGTTTATTTTGATTTTACTCTTATTTTCTAATGTTAATTATATTTTGATTTGACGAATGAAGCGGAGAAATGCATCATCATTTAAGAGATGACGTGATAATTTAATATATCATTAGTAGTTTTGACGGTTTTTTAATAGCGGTGGCTAAATTGATAACAAATAGTTCACTTTTGAAGGATTTTTGTTTGGATGATTAAGCTAATAACACCCTAGAAATTGAATGAACAATTTAAATAATTTATCCTCATTTTTATTACTATGTAACGTTGTTGAGAGATTAAGCATCTTCTTCGAAAAATCCATTTTATGTAGGGTAAACTACGTCAATGGTCACTGATGTTTGGGTAAGTTTTTGTTTTCACCACTAATGTTTTAAAAGTTACAAATTGGTTACTAACGTTATCGTTTGTCACAAAATGGTCACTGACCGTTAACAGCCGTTAGGAACCGTCACGGAAAACACACGTGGAACGTTAGATGCTTACCTGGATGGTTTGATTACCACAGTGGAGAACCTCACTTCTCCCGTTGACCAGTGTTTTACCAAAAATTTAGTCAAAAAATAATTAAACATAAAATGAGCGGGGAAAATTAAAGGGGATCCATCCGATTCTATTTTGATTTCATTCTTCACTTCCTCCTTCACGAATGAAGCAGTTTCAGAGGGTGTTTGAGAAAACCATAAATCGGAAATGTGAGGAAACAAAGAGAGGAAACATAGAAAGCGATTAAGAGAAAAATAACGAGCAACACTTGGATATAAGAGGGGTTCGAAGTGATTGGGTTTGAGGAAATTTTTAGGGTTCAAAGCGAAGATAGTTCTGACATGGAGGCTACGGAAAAAAGGGGACAACGCCATGCTTTACGGTAAGCTGCATTTTCAGTTTGAGAGAAAATAGATTAACCTAGAATTTTGCTAGAAAATTAGATGGGTTTTTTTAAAATAATGTCGATTATTTTGTTTTATATTACTCTTGATTCTTGATTTTTGATTTTTGACAACTGTACTGATTTTGTGTTGACAGAAAATGTATGTGGTTTATGTTGAAATAATGTTGATTTTCTGTTGACAACTTTATTTGCAATGTTTTCTATTTTCTTTTGACAGAAAATGTATGTGGTTTATGTTGAAGTAATTTTGATTTTCTATTGACAACTTTACAACTAGACTTGCAATATTTTCTGTTTATATGATATGTTATACAACTTTACAACTCTACTAGCAATGCTTTATGTTATATGTTATATGATTTCTGTCCAACATAAAGTATATGTACTTCATGTTATATGCTATTTTCTTGATATGATCACTTTATATCAACTTGAAATCATGTATCCACTTTTCATGCTATTTTTTTGTTATATGCTTTATGTTGTAAAGGTTTTGACATGTGGGATATATTGAATGTTGAAATTTCTGAAATATGTGGGATATACTGACTTTGTGGTTTTGACATGTTTGTATGTTGAATGTTTTATATTGTTGTAGACCATGCAGTTTAATAATATGTTCTGAATGTTGTAATGTTGTGGTCCCTACATGTTTGAAAAATAATGGTTAATATTGTGTTCTTGTGAACCACAAGGATTTGATAAATTATGCTGACTTTATGACTGTTTATGTGTATATGTGTGATATGCTTGTAACTATAAATATTCTAAATATTGTACTGTTGCATGTTTGCATGTTGAATATTGTAATAATATTAGACCATATGATAAAGTGTTTATGTGTGTTATGGGTCCTACTATGCTGAATATCAATTCAAAAATCTTGTTACAGGTCGTGAAGATGAAAAAAATTTTCTGTTGTGTGTCATTACGGTGGATCCTTTGTACATTCACCTAGAATGAAGTTCACTGGTAACAAGATTGCTTATTTTAACTTGTGTGATTGTGACACAATCTCTTTGCTTGACATTTGTGAAATGAAGGAGCAAATATTAGTCCCTACTCCTTTACAATTATTCTGGTTACTGCCAAATGAAAAATTAACTAAGTCTTCCATCATGCTTTTAGGATCTGATTCTGATGTAATGAAAATGGTACAGAGTTTACCTAAAAATAGATATATTCACATCTATGCACAAGTTAAAGGTATAAATGAAAGTGGTTGTTATGAAAGTGGTGGTATAGAAGTAGATAATGTTGAAAGTGGTGGTGTAGAAATTGATACTGCTGAAATGGGGATTGTAGAAAGGGACAATGCTGAAATAGGTAGTGTTGAAGGGGAAAATGCTGAAAGTGGTGGTGTAGAAATGGATAGTGCTGAAAGTGTTGGTGTAGAAATGGATAATGCTGAAATGGGTAGTGTAGAAATGGACAATGCTGAAATGGGTAGTGTTGAAAGGGACAATGTTGAAAGTGTTGGTGTAGAAATGGATAATGCTGAAATGGGTAATGTTGAAAGGGATAATAAGAAAGACAAGTCTAGTAATGAAGGTGTTAGAGGGACTGAAGCTGATTTTGAAGAAGTTGTGGTAGAAGATGAAAATAATGGATCTGATGAATCAGATTTTGATTTTTAGGAAACTGATGGTGAAAATTCTTTTGATGATGAGGAGAGTTTACCTAGTATGGTAGAGGATCATGTGATGAATATTTTAGGGGACATGGGTAGGCATGAATTTAACAATAGATCTGATGAAATGTTTGACTCTAGTCCTGTTAATTCATGAGAATTAAACAGTGACAAATATTCTGACTCAGATGTCCGTCCTACCTTCACTGAGTTCAACAAAGATACTGATATGGAGAACCCTAAATTTTAAAAGGGTTTATTGTTTTGTAGTAAAGAGACTTTAAAGGAGGCAATTAGGCAATATGGGAGGATGACTAGAACAACTGTTTTGTTTAAGGTTAATGACAACAAGAGATTAAGCAGTTTGTAGGGAGGGTTGTCCATTGAAATTATGGGCTTCCCCATTGCATTCACATGATTCTGATTCGAACACTTGGCAAATTAAGACTTACGAGTCCGAACACACTTGTGCTAAGTTGTTGAAAAATAAGAATGTCAGTTATAAGTTCATCGGGATGAAATATATTCAGAAATTCATGTCTGATATGAATTATTCTTTGACTTCCCTCAAACAAGATGTGATGACTGACTATGGGGACAGTTTGTTCTTTGACTAAATGTGGAAGGGATAGAGAGCATGCCTAAGAAATGATTCAAGGTAAATTGAAAATATGGAAAGATCTATGAATATTTACTTGAATTAAGGAATACAAATGCTGGAACTACAACTGTTTGCAAACTAGATAATAGACTATTTCAAAGAATGTATGTTTGTCTTCAAGCTTGCAAAGAGGGGTTCAAAGCAGGTTGTAGAAGGATTATCAGCCTTGATGGATGCTTCTTGAAGGGTTATTATACTGGTTACTTACTGGCAGCAGTTAGTATCGATGCTAATGGTGGAATCTATCCCATAGCATATGCTGTTGTGGAGAGTGAGAATCAATATTCATGGTTATGGTTTCTGGAAATTCTTGAAAGAGACTTGGACATTGACAACTCATATGGATGGTGTTTTATGTCTGATAGACAAAAGGTTATGATCTTAACTTTTTTATTTATTATAAATTAGTAAGCCTATTATCATAATTATTTATTAAGTTATCCTTGTAGGGACTTGTTGAAGCTGTGGCAGAGCTATTCCCTAATGCTGAAGCCAGGAATTGTGTAAGGCTTATTTATGCCAAGTTCAAAAAATATCACAAAGGAAAAGCTCTTAAGGATGCACTATGGAGAGCTGCTAGAGCAACTTATGGTAGAGAATTCCAAGATGCCATAACAGAATTGAAGACTTTGTCTAATGATGCATTTGAGTGGCTGAAGCATCTTAACCCTCAACAGTGGTCCAAAGTACAATTCTCTGCCACTACTAAATCTGACATGCTTCTCAATAACCTTTGTGAATGTTTTAACAAGGTAATCTTATTATAATTCTGTTTATATATATTTATTTTTCTATAACTCTTAACAAATTATATATTGTGCAGATCATTTTGGAAGCTAGAGACAAGCCCATCCTTACTATGATGGGGCTGATTAGAACCAAAATTATGAGAAGAATTGTTTGCAGATATGAAGCAACTGAAAAGATTAATGGGCCATTATGTCCAAATATTCAGAAGAAGCTGAACATTATAATTGATCAAGCAACTAGGTAACTCTTTTCAAATTTAATATTTCGTTGAGATATGTTGACATATGCTATCAAATATGTTAAGATATGTTGCTGAAATATGTTGAGACCATTTGAGATATGCAGACCATTATGAATGTTTAAATATTCTATCGAACTATGTTGTTTTTATTGATATATGCAGGTGTTGGGCTACACATGCTGGAGGGTTGAAATATCAAGTTGAATGTGGTCCAGGAAATCAACTTGTGATGGACATGGGCTCCCACTCTTGTTCTTGTAGAAAATGGGACCTGACAGGCATCCCATGTATCCATGCAGTAGCAGTCATGCAACTGCACAATGATCGACCTGAACCTTATGTTCATACATGCTACCACAAATCCACACAACTTGCAATATATTCTAATTTCATTTGTCCTGTCAAAGGTGAACTACTCAACTATTTACATATACCTAAATAATTTATGTCATGCTAATTTTCTAAATTCTTTCTTCTTTTTTAATAGGTGTTAAGCAATGGACTATTGTCATTGAAATGGAGCCTATTCTGCCTCCAGAATTGAGAAGACCGCCTGGAAGGCCAACCAACCAAAAAAAGGAGAAAGGAAGCTGATGAAGGAAATAAGAATAGACCTAAATTAAGCAAGAAAGGTTCGATGGGAAATTGTTCTAAGTGTGGTAAACCTGGCCACAATAAGAGGACCTGTAGAGGAGAAGTTGGCGGTAACAGAAGTCTAAACCAACATGAATTAGGATCCAGCCAACCACATGCATCTGACCAGCCATCCCAACACTCAACTCCAATGCAATGACAAGCTCGAACTATCCAACCTACAAGGCCTCAAGTATTAAGGCCAAAATTACCTACAATGAGGCCACTTAATCCACCTACAACAGTCCGTTGGATGATGCCACCATCTACAACAGACCATGCAATGCCTGGCAGTCAAGAATCTTCTGTTTCTAACCCTCACAATCAAGATTTGCACACAATATCAAAAAAATGAAATAGGTAGTGTTGATGGAACTTTTTGTGTAGTTTACCTAGGAAATTGACCTACTTTGTCATATATCTGCTTCTGCTTAATTGGCTTTGATGTATAGCCATTCTTTTTGTAAAGTTTACTTATGAACTATCCATATTTTGACATGAATTAAGCTTTAGGCTTAATGTCATATTGAATTAGAGCAGGTTTGACAAATTATTGTTCTTACTTGTATTTTGACTTGTATCAGTTTACTGATAATGAAATACATCATATTTTGGCATTTCTTTGTAATATTCATTTTTGAATTATTCTTGCAGTTCAATGCAAAATAAAGAAAAATTAAATGCACAATGCAAAAAATCAAAGTTTATATATATACAAAGGAAGAAAAACCATTGCAAAATAATAGAACCATAAGAATTAATCTGGAAACACATACAAACTTCCATTACAAAGCTTTTAATCCACCATTCAAATAACATCATTTTCATTTGCTAACCCAAAGCTTATAGACATATAAAATCAAGATAACAAGCAAAAAAATCCTCTCATTTCTCCTTTCCCTTTCGACTTTTCTTAATTTCTTTAACAACTCTAAGCAAACAAATCTTGCCCGAGGCACCATGGGAGGATCCATCCAAACAAAAAAAATGACATTTTGTACTCATCTTTTTCCCATAGTTTCGGCAACCAAAAAAACCTCCTCCCACATTTTTCATTCGTCCAAGCCGTTACCACCTTAGCTGGTTGTCCACAATTACAAAGAGAAACTTCAATGGAGTCTTCCATCTTCACCTTAGATAGCTTTTATCTTGGGAGGGATTTGAGAAAAATTTCAACAAAGAAGATTTTGAAGGAAAAGAGGTAGATTAGGGTTAGGGATTGGGTTTTATTTAAAGGGGGAGAAGAAAATGAACGTTAGAGTACTGCTCTCTTCCACCATGGCATTCCAGGTAAGCATCTAACGTTTCACGTGTGTTTTTTTGTGACGGTTCCTAACGGCTGTTAACGGCCAGTGACCATTTTGTGACAAACGATAACGTTAGTAACTGATTTGTAACTTTTAAAACATTAGTGGTGAAAACGAAAACTTACCCAAACATCAGTGACCATTGGCGTAGTTTACCCTTTTATGTACATGGTATCAATTAAAATTGGGGTAAAGTACACAAATGATCTTTAATTATAAGGTATCATTTTTAAGTTTTTCGATTATTAAAAGTCACAAAATGATTTTTTTTATTATAAGACGTTATTTTTTTAGGTCCCCCAACTATTAAAATTACAAAGTGATTACTTGACTATTCAAATTCTCCATTCACCATTAAAACTTTGACAGTCAACTGAGTTAGATATTAGCATGCTGATCGCAATATGATAAAATCACTATTTAATGACGTCTGTTGGCATTGTTGTTACTTTCAAGCATTGACTCGATGACATAATATTTCAAGTACTAGCTCAACGATATAATGTAAATGAAAAGTCGATTCACAAAATACAACTCAAACGATTCTGAGATTAAATTTTATCATATCTCAGTCCACAAGTTAACATCCAACTCAGACGACTGCCAAATTTTAATGGAAAGGATGAGTTTGGAACATATGAATAGTCGAATGACCATTTTATAACTTTTAATATCAAGGGACTCATCAAAATAATACCCTATAATCGGGAGATCATTTTATAGCTTTTAATAGTTAGGAACTCAACAAAGTAATGTCCTATTGTCAAAACTATTTGTTTACTTTACCCTTAAAATTGTAACTACATGACAATTACATATGTGTACATGGTTGTAAACATTTTTCAAGGTGAAAATTGCAATATTTTTGAGCAATTAATTATTTCTCAAACCTTAAAATGTATCAATTTAAAATATGTGTATATATAAAATTATAAAATTTAAACATGTTAGGTATCTATACTATCTTAAAATGTAAAAGTTAGCATATATAATTTTTATAAAATTCCTCTATTTTCCTCTAACTTCTATTCAATTTTACCATTAACTTGACAATTTTTTAAAAAAGGAAAAATAACTTTTTAGTCACTTATGTTTATAATTTTTTTACAAATTTGAACCTTAATATTTAAAAATAAAAATTTCATTAATCGAGCAACACATTTTTTCAATCATCTACATTTATAACGAACTTTCAAGAGTCAAATCGATAAAAAACATATAAACATAAAGAATTGAACAAGTTATTTTAACTTTTGTATATAGTTGTTAGGTCGGTAGTTAAAAATTAGGGAAGAAACCAAGATATTTTCATTAAAAAATAAATATAGGGACTCAGGTGTATAAAAATAAAGAATAAAGACTAAAAACGTAAAATTTGGAAACAGTATAGGGATTCATGACATATTTAAACCTATATATATAAAGCCCAAAAGAAAAGAAGTGATTTGAACTTGAGCCTGCCCCGCCATGCAAATGATCTCGCAGTTTGAAACAATTTGAAAAGCAAAAGTGAAGAAGAGAGGCGGGCTATTCACCATAAGCTAACGTTTAACTTCTCTCTCTAAGGCCAAGGTGTTTTCTTTGAGGGGAAAAGAAAACTACTCAAATCCATTCAAAATGACATCTCTCAAGCTCAAGGTATCTTCTGTATCTCATATTTAAGAATACTTGTAATTCTTAGACGACAATGACATTTCTGTTGTTTCTCACAATCACTTTTTAGAAATTCTTCTTTTCCCTTTAAGTTCCAGTTAGGGTTTCGTTTTTGATCAGTATATCATCTCTTTTTCAGGGAAAAACAGGAGATCAACATGGCTTCAGTCGTGGTGACCTTATCTATTCTCACTTTATTGTATTTGGTAATTTTGTTTTATGTTTTCCTTTACAATCTTTATTTTCTGTTCTTGTTTGTGTGAAAAGGTCTCAAATTTATTCCCAAAATGAAGCATCTACCATGTAAGTTTTCTTTTGCTTAATTAGAACATTATCTGATTATTTTCATTTTAAATAAAGAACAATTTCATTGTTCTTTTTTTTCTTAATTTTTCTAGGAGGAAATCAATAGTATGCAGCAAAGAAGATGATCCAAAGGTTTTTACCATTTTTTTTTGATTCTCTTAATAAAGCATGCATTATTTAAATCGGTTGCTTTTATTTATATTCATGTTTAACTTCCAAATGTAATTTAAAGGGGTCTTTGAAGAATATGACCAAGACCAAAGGCAGGCGTGATAATTCTGGTAAGCTTCATTTGCATTTGCAACAATTTTTCATAATTATTATCTCGATTCTATGCAATGGGAACTCTGTTTACAGTTCTTTGCATACCACTTTTCAGAAAATAAAATTGTTCAAAGAAAAGCGCTGTCAGATCTTAGCAATCTTACTTCTTTGGTTTCTTCCACTAAGGTTTATGATGGCTCTAAATCAACGTGAGTGACTTTTTTACTGTACTTTTGAATTGTTAGCTCTTTCTGCAATTGTATTAACTTGTTGCTTTTACTTTCTCATTTTGCAACGCAGGAAGAATCATAGAAGTGCCTTGATTGAACGGTACAAAACTTGATTGTTGTTATTGTTTCCTATTTGGGTGTGGATCTGATGTATTCCAAGATTTCAGGACACAATAGATCCTTTTCCATATAGTCAGTGTATCTTTTTTTTTCCCAATGGTATACGCATATGTTATTTTGTTTCTCCCTTTGAAGTTTTTAAGTAGTTACACATACATTTGATTCCCCTTCCCTACACTCTGATATCTGCATTGTTATTCAGTTATCCAAAATGAATATGGACCAAGTATGTAAAATTCTATTGAAGAAGATATAGCTTTATATGGATATTTATACGTTAATTTGTTTCTTGTTTATGAGATGATAGTTAAAATATGTGAAGTAATTTATTTGCAGGGTTTCAGTGGCTTTAGTTGCAAAAACTGTAAATGTCTCATCCGGAAGATCTTTCAAGGTACAAGGGATAAATTAAAACTTCAAAGTTCTTTTCCTTTTTCCCATAACCCTTCCAGCTCCTCAAACATATATGATGTCACTTAAGTGTGAAAACTGATAACTAAAATCTGGGTAAACTAGTTCTGGAACTGTTGTAATTGCTAGTTTAATGACGTGTGTCCTGCTAATATCATAATTATCACCCCAAGCCATGGAATTAGTAACTAAATCACCCAAAGGGTAGAAGAGAGCTCTGATTGTAATGAACATTAAATCATGAAAAATTGTTGACGAGAAAGTATAACCAATGAAAAGTGGTAGGATGAAACATTTATCTTTATTGTTGGGTTTAATAAGATCTTGGATGAAGTTTAGGACTTTCAAACTGCTAGATCTAATTAAGTTATTTGAGTGTTTTATTTCACATTTATGGCATCACACAGAAAATTAACGAAAGAAAATTCATGTTGTAGTTTTGATATATTCATTTGATTTTCCACTACAAAGGAATTGATCTATTTCAGAATATCTTTTAAAATAGGGAAAAGAGAGGGACCATCCTAATCGAGGTGCTATCGGCGTTCATTCTTCAAAGACAGGTAACCTTCAATTATTTATAAAGTTGTTTTGGTAACTTTCACTGGCACAACAACATATAAACAAGCTTTGCTTTTTGAGAACAGAAAGTATTATAGATCCGAAGACTTACTTGAGTGTCCAAAGTGTTACAACCCAGAATTCAGATCGTAAATCTGTTGTTACTACTGGCAGGTACACGGTTAAATTGACTTTCAAATTCCGTTTGGAGTGCAGGATGCAACCTGATCGTATGACTACTGTTTAAAATTATCTGATCAAGTTTTCCTCAATTCAATTATTAATATTGCATTATGTTTTCTTTATTTATTCAGGACAACCAGGAATCCACTTCCACCAACAAGGTTTGTGAATTTATAAACATTGAAATAATTGATTAAAAGAATGCATGCAATATCTCTCACTGATACATGGTATAATTTCTATTTTCATCTTGAAGGAAGTCTTTACCGGTGTTGAAGGAGGTGAACCCATCCTTTGCAAGTGATGCAAATTTTAAAATTTTATTTCACTTTCTAAAAGAAAAGAAAAGAAAAATAATAGTGCTACTCCTCATGATGTTATCTTGTTGGTCTTCTTTTATCATCTTTTATTTTTTCCCATTAAATTGCCCCTTTTCCATGTAGGAAAAAGCTACAGAAGCTATCAGGATTACGAGTAAGATGCATGATCCGTTTTTCTTAAATCTCCAAAAGTGCGTGGCCCAAAGTTCGAGTCACTAAGATGGTGGTTTTTTTCCTGTCTATCCCCCCCCCAATGTTGGGGTTTCAGGTAAGACTAAAGTTTGTAAAACTGCTTCAAAGCAAGCAAGCAATGCAAGGAACCATCTCTCAAGGAATAGAGAGAGTGATAGCTTTGTAATAACGTAAGCAGGAGTTTCTGATTTCATTCTGGTTCTTACCATGCTCAACTCAGGGATAATTTATATGTCAGAATCAGAAATAAAATGAAGTCCTCATTTACATACACAGTCAAGTCAGGCAAAAGAGTTTAATGAGATAAATTGGTTTTTGTTTGTCTAAGAAATCGTAGGTCTGGTTGGTTTACCTCCTTTCGGTTTATTCTAAACATTGTTCTTTATCAGGGTCAGAAGTGAAGTGCTTCTATAGTCACCTACTTTAAACTATGATTTTCTTACCGAGGATTTGAAGTCTACTAAAATTTCAAATAGTAGAAATGCCACTGTAAAGTTTGCGATTTATTATAGCTTGTGTCAATTTTAATGGTGATTGTGGTTGATGCTTGGGAGCATCAACAGGCTGTGTGTCTCACAATTCAATTGTTTTATATGCTCTATCATTTTTTTTCTATCTTTGGTTTCTGTCTTTTATGAAGCATGTAAATTAGTTCTAGGAAGTCTTTTAACATTTTTCTAGAATTATCTGTGATGCCCACTTCTATGTCAAAATTTTCTTTTTTTACATGCTCGTACTTTAAACTGGCAATTAACTGCTTCATTCTCCTGGGCATCACGAGGGGACTTTATATTAGATTTATCTGGAAAAGATATATTAATCTAATCCATTATTTTCATGAAATATCTTGTCTGGAATATTTTGATATGAAAATAAAATCGATAGGTCTGCTTAAAAGTTTACTGGCATATATTATAGATCCATGGTTTTGCTGATTTATATAGCATGTTCTTTCTAATAGTATAAATATTTTTATTGCAAATGAGTACGCTGATGATTAGTTTGAATTTTGGAAACAGGGCTACTAAAAGTCGAACTAATTCTGCTGCTCATAACTTGCCAAGATCTTTCAAGGTATATGACGTACTATATCTGTCTTTAATCTATCAATTTAGTTTGCTCTTTATTTTAATGATATTTACGTATATTTTCTGTTTGCTTCATGCTTACATGGTAACCAAAGTTGTATTTGTGTTTTCATGTTACCCAATTTTACTTATACAAGTTGTTTTTATTTCATTCATTGCTCAGCCTATTGTTAAGACTGCACTCAGGCCTTCTAATTCTCAAAGAGCGTCAAAATCAAAGTGTTCTTCAGGTTTGGGAAAACCAGTATCTGCTGCTGCAATCACATCCAAGAAAGACAAAGGATGTACTCTTCTGGAAGATAATTTAGCAACAATTTCCAGTGAAGCCAGCCAAAGGGATCATACTTCTAATGGCGATAGTGATGCTAGCATCAACAAGCCTGGTTCCCTTGCTAAGAAGAAAGCCAGACGTATATCTTATACATCCTTACTGATGTCAGGATCAAAGGTTTGGCCCCACTACAATCTAATATACTGATGGCGTCAGCTTTTTCCTTGAGAAGTTGAATGACCGTTGGAAATATTTTGCAGCTATTAGAAGGTATTGTTGGTGTCAAAGAAGAAGAAAAGTTAATTGGCATTGATAATGATGACAATCCGTTGGAAGTTTCTCAATACGTAGATGAAATTTATGAGTACTATTGGATAAGTGAGGTATTTGATCATTAGCCTCTTCTTTCTCGAAATTTTTTTAGCTTACTATGGCCTGTGTACTAGGCTTAATTTAGAGTGATTGTGATCCTTCTTGAACACGGAAGCCAGACCATGGGGCTTCATCTAATCATGAGTAGCTAATGGACATTGACTAATAACACAAAACCATCTTGTAAGGGACTATCTTAGTAGAATAAGTAATACCATGTTAAAATACAGAAGTATTTTTTTTCAACTAGTTGATTCCTGATCAAAAGGGCAGCTAAAGAGTTGCAAATTATAAGTTAAGGATAATATTTTGTTGTATTACTGTGTCGGTGCTTTCCAAAAACAGCGATATATTCATCAGAAACAAAACATCTATTTTCAATTGAATGAACAAAGCAGAGATGTTTTCTAGTTTTAATTTCCTGCCTACTACAGAAATGATTGCTGATCCTTCTCTCAATTTTGCTTTGGCCCCAGACGTTGATCTTTTCTGTACTGTATCTGTGTGCATCAAACACCAATGCTGTTAATAAAAAGTCTACTATCTCAGTCATCAATTGTTTGCCTGTGTTTTAGCAGCAATGTTTAACTAGTTAGGTAATTCTACTGAATATTGATATTGAACTTAAAAAATGCAGGCTATGAATCCATCTCTGGAAAATTACATGTCAAAGCAGACAGATATTACCCCTCATATGAGAGGCATATTGATCAACTGGCTGATTGAGGTATAGTTTTGCACATGGTTTTAATTCACCTTTTTGTTCATCATGGTGTTGTCCATTCATAAATTATCAGTGTTATACCTTGCTTATTTTTGTTGCTCTGTACTTCATCACTCTCATGCCAGGTGCACCTTAAATTTGATTTAATGCAAGAAACACTCTATCTCATGGTCAGTTTGTTGGATCGATATCTCTCAGAGGTCCAAATAAAGAAGAATGAGATGCAGCTGGTTGGTCTTACTGCTCTTTTGTTGGCATCGAAATATGAGGATTTTTGGCATCCTAGGGTAAATATTTGAACTTTCAAATTTGCACGGTATCTTGTATTATTATTCTTTTTCAATTTTCAAAACTTGCAAAACCGTTACTCATTTAACTGTAATTCTTTACAGGTGAAAGATTTAATCAGTGTATCTGCTGAGGCTTACACTAGTGAACAAATGCTCAAGATGGTATGCATTTTCTTCTGATGGCATGCAATTTGAACTTCTGAGAAAATCCAGGTGTTAGGAGGAAACTTGATGTAGGGCAAGTAACCCACGGCCCGCGTATTCTGAAACCAAAATCATTCAGTAGTGAAAATTACAATGAAACTAAACAACATAGGTATTTATAACTTAACTCAAGATCCTAATATATACATAAACAATTATAACTCTTCAGCCTTAACTTGTAAAGTAAAATAATTGCTAAATATAAAATAATCTAAAATAGCCTAACTAGGATATCTCTGTTCTGCATCACCCGGTGTTTGAATTTGGAGTTTATTTGCTTTGTTTATTTTTAATTTTAACCCTCCTGCTGGAATCTTCACTTCGGACCAATAGCAATAGCTACTTCTAGCACCAAAGTCTTGGACTAAAGTAGATGTATCGTTATGCAAGTATCTTCCTTGATATGCAACATTCGATAGGTGTTTGCTCGTATTGTTCTTAACAATAAAAAAATAATTTGAACTTTCAGGAGAAGCCCGTTACATTCGATAGGTGTTTGCTCGTATTGTTCTTAACAATACAAAAATAATTTGAACTTTCAGGAGAAGCTTGTCCTTAAAAGCTTGAAGTTTCGCCTAAATGTGCCTACTCCATATGTCTTCATGTTAAGGTTCATCAAGGCTGCTCAATCAGACACCAAGGTATGTGGTAGCTTTTTGAATATCACTAATGGGTCAGCTATTTGATAAGGTCCGAGTTTCTCAATTAATATATTGAGAAGAAAAGTAGGTCCATGAACTTGTATTGGAACCAGTCATTTGATATTTTGGGGTAGTTGATTAGGATTCTATTTGGATAATAGGTATGATCTATGATGTACTGATTTAAATTGGATTGACAAAATGTTCAAAAGTTCGGTAAACATTTGTTTTAGGTGATGGATGTTTGGTTTCAGTTTGAACATCTAGCCTTCTACCTCATAGAGCTCTGCTTGGTTGAATATGAAGCTTTGAAACTCAAGCCCTCCTTGCTATGTGCATCAGCTATCTATCTTGCTCGGTGTACCCTGCAGATGTCTCCCTATTGGACACCGTTGCTTTGCAAACACACGCGTTATGATGTGGTGGAAATCAGGCACGCATGTCTCTTTTAATGTCTTGTTGTCGTTGTTAGCAGATCTTTATTTATTGCCTGATTGTGAGCAGGGAGTGTGCAGAAATGATTTTAAGATTCCAAAGAGCTGTAAATTTGGGGCAATTGAAGGTCACATTCGAAAAGTATACGAGTAAGGAGCTCAGCGGAGTTGCGGCGATCACACCCTTGGATAGACTTCCTTGAACTTGATTTTAGTTGCACGAGTTCAGTTTTAGAATGTTAATAAAAATACAATTGTGACAGAAATAGCATGGAAGCACCGGGATTATGGTGTTGTAGTTTTTAATTGTATTGAGCTCTAGTTTCCTACTTTTAAGAGAGATTGATGATGGATTCTGGGTTCATACTTGATCACTTAAATTTTCATCGTTTAATGTTTTTTATTATATTGTAATATATTTTGCTGATAATATATTCATTAATGAAATTTGTTTTAGTATAATTGAAAGTTTCAACGTAAAAAGTTTTATATAATTATCTGTTTTCTATTGAGAAAATATATATTTTGCATAATGATTTTCCGGCTCCTAGACTTTAAATTTTAATTAGATAGCTTTTTAAAATTGATTGTATTTACTTATTAATTATTAATTTTTTTATATTTTATTTTTTGTCACGCTACAAAATTAAGAAAATGAAAAAAAAAAATCAAAATACTATTTTTTATACATTTTTTTAGAAGAATGAATGAAGCCATAGGCACTTGCGCTTCATGTATGCGTCCCGTGATTTGGGTTTTAAAAATAAATTAATTTAATTACTCAAGTTTGGGGCTTCAAAAGGTTTTTATAGGCAAAAGGGAATATGAGGTGGCAGTATTTAAAAAAAAGCAACGTCGTTTTCGAATTTTTTTATTTAATGTGATCATCGAACTTAAAAAAAAATTCAATGTGACTTTTTAACTAAAGATTTACGTCGTTAACCGTTACAATACTGACGTAAAATGAGTTCTCAACATAATAAGTTATATTACATTACAAATAATTTTCATACAATCATATTTATATTATTTTAATCATAAATTTATTAATTCATAAATGTCATTTTTGATATCATAAAAAACTAGTTCAAAAAATTTGTTTAGATATATCAAAGTTTACAACTAACTCTACAATATATATCATCTACCATACTTCCTAACATTATTATGTGTTCCAAAATAAAGACACTAATACCAACATTGAAAAAAACAAAATGCGTAAGTGAAAGAATCAAATTTTAAGAAGGACTGAAAAATAAAATCAATGAAATAAAGGCCTTAAGATATATTTGTAGTATTTTAAATTTAAAATATTTTTATTTAAAAAAAATCAAATAAACCCTCAAATTAAAAAAAAAATCAATTAAACTCAACTACCTCACAACGAAATGCCAGTAGTCTTTCTATATTAAGTCATGGATTCGTAAAGTAAATGCTGCCGAATTTATTTTTCATTTCTATAAAGTCCGAAAAGCATCGTAATGTTTCATCAAAAATCAAAGCCTTTTGCCTCGTTTTCCATCTTTGTGCTGAACCGTTCGTTCCCCGCTCTACAGATCGCTCTTCGGATTGCTTCTCTCCGCTCCTCAAATGGTATGAGCATTCACGTTTTGCGTCTCCTCTTTTATTTCTACAACACGCTCCTCCACGTATTGTTTGATATATTAATTTTGATATTACGAGTTAAATATCATTAAGTTAATTTATTTCTAACAAAAAATAACAAAATTTTATTTATCTATCAACCCATTCTTTCTTTTACTCTTTTCGCAAGAGTATGTGCAACTTTCATTTCAATCTTTTTCACTGCCTTATTCTCTTCTATTTATTTCACCTTCTCTTTTTACATACCAATTGAGTAATTAATTGTTTATTGATTCTACCCACATATTGAGTCTTCATAGGACTAGTATAAATAATATAATAAATCTAAAGGTAACAATTTGGTATTATTAATGTAATCACTTATTTTCGTCCGGGGTTTTATTTAATATACATATAACGTACATAAATATATGATTTTGAGAATATTTTTTAAAAAAAATATATATATAATATATAGTTTTAAAAATATTTTTTGAAAAAATATATAATAAATAATTTTGAAAACATTTTTCGAAAATATATATAATATATAATTTTGAGAATATTTTTTTTGAAAAAAATATATATAATATATAATTTTGAAAACATTTTTCAATATATATATATATAATATAGTTTTAAAAACGTTTTTTTTGAAAATATATATAATATATAGTTTAGAAAACATTTTTGAAAATATATATAATATATAGTTTTGAAAACATTTTTCGAAAATATATACAATATTAGTTTTTTTAAAAAATATTTTTGGACATATTTTATATTATATAGTTTTTTATTTACATTATATTTATTTCATTTTTTATTTAATTATTTATTTTGTTTATTTCATTATTTTTATTTTTATTCTTTTATTCTTTTTCTTTTTCGTTTAGGCCCAAAAAGTCCAAAACCGGGTCCAACAGAGCCCAATTGGGTAAGGGGCTTGACCCAGTCTTAACCTGATTAGGGTTTTTAGGTTTAGCAAGGGCGTCACACATATGACGTGTGAAAACCACGCACGAAGCGTGGAGATCGGTGGCCAACAACTGAACGAGATCGGGATTGAACCATCCTTAAAATCCCGGGCGAACGGTGTCCACGAGAAAATCGGAACGAGTAACTCAACAAACAGCCCACGAATCCGTCCCGTTCGGGACTCAAAACAACCAAAATCGGGGCTATAAAAAGCCTCCGACGAGGCCAAGAACAAGGGGTGAGAAATCGATCAAGAGGCAGCCAAGCAACCATAATCACAAGAAAAAATAGCCAAACACCGAACAAAAAACAACCAAGAGTTACCCGAAACCAAAAACAAAACAAAACACAAAATAGCAAAATAACCGAACCAAACAACCTGTCTAAATACCACCAAAAATAGAGAAAAAGTCAAGGCCTTTCTCTTCAGAAGGAACATGGATCGTGAAGGAGAGACATCAGAGGAAAAGTGCATGAAAACGAAACATTTTCCTCAAAAAGGTAAAAAAACCCGAAACTTGCCCGTTAGATCTACTCCGAGTAGGGCGTATTTTGGGGGTTTGGGGGTCGATTTCAGCCTCAGGGGTTAGAATGTTTCGAAAGAGGCATTTTACTTTTTTCGGCCACCGGTGGTGGTGGCTGGAGCAGTGGTCAACACGGCGGGGCTTCGCCGGAGCGATGGTCGGCCATATACAAATTGAGAAAAGGGGGAGATGATTTAGAGAAAAGGGAGAGCTCTGTTTCAGGGAGGAAGTGAGAAATGAGAAAATGACATATATTTTTTTATTTTGGGAGGTATTTATAGGGGGACCATTGTGTAATTATGAAATAATTAAATTATTTCCGCAGTCCCTATCCTTTTGATGTGTAATACATTTTGGTCACCTATCTCAATTTTGCCTCTAAATTTTCAATTAATTCGATTTAATAACTATTTATATTTTTTTTGCAATTTAACCCATCTAACTCTTATTTTTTTCTTTGCAGCATATCTTTAGTATTAACTTTAATTTGTTTCAATTTAGTCCTTTAAATTTCCTTTTTTTTTTATTTTTTTTAAAAACATTTTTTTTAAAAAAAACATTTTTTTACTTTTCTAATTTTGTGAATTATTTATACATTTTATTTCACAATTTAATATTTTTTTTTAAATTTTTAGGGGTAATTCTAATCGATCAAAGATAAGTAGTTTGAATCGAATTTTTAAATTCCAATTTAACTTTTAATTTTCACAAGTAAGAAAATCGAGAAATTAAATTAGTACCAGAAGGGCAGTACAAGGGTGCTAATCCTTCATTGACTGTAACCAACTCCCGAACTCGACATATTTCTGGTAAAACGCATATAAGGTAAGATGGTCAATTGAGGTGTTCGGTCAACCTAATTATGTTTGGAAAATATATATAAATGATCGGTGGCGTCTCTTGTATGTTTTATTTAAGTTGAATTCCAATTCCGAGCCCACCCAAAAGACGATTACGACAGTTTGGCGAATCTACTAGGGATAGGTAAGTGAGTCAGGCTAAAGTTAATTCTCGGTTCTCTTTTAAAGTGAAAATTGTAAGTTTAAATTTTAATTTATTTATTCGATCCTTGATTTTTTCCAAATAAATAGTTGTACTGACTTTTTTTTCAATGGTTTTAGATTTTCATCTCAGGCTCTATACCCGAGCTCCAAGCCCTTTTATTAGTGGAGGTGAAAGCGATGCCTTCGTGGGAATTTATTCTCTGTATAGGCCTAGCAAGTAACATTCGGGATTCATATACCTTATGTCTTCGTGTGAATTTATTTTCTGTATAGATATAAGGAAATGTGTCATCTCGAGTTTAACTTGGTCCACATAAGCTTGTAATGGGCTTAGGACTGAGGGTCTGGTAAGCACAAGGGGGCACCAGCAAGAAGAACTCGAGTATATTTTTAGAACCTAAACTGAGAAACAAGGAATTAGAGCCCACTCCAAAACTTCATTTCAAAACCTAGGCTGTTTTGAGATCATTTCATGCTTTATTTTTTGTTCAGAGTATGTGAACTAGAAGTTTATATGGTTAGGACTTGTTCAAAATCAACATGCGAGATAGAGATCATGTCCGGGTAGGAATAATAAGCATGTGGGGTAGATATCATGTGGGGTATGACTTTTTATTTTCATTATTATTTTGATTATTATATTTATCTCACTAACTTTTTCATTTCATTTTTGTTTTGTTTTGTTTTATTTTATTTTATCATTTTCATCATAAAAATAAAAGAGGTTTTGATCTAAAAAAAATGTTTGTTAAACATAAATAATATGCATTAATGGACAAAGGGGTTGTAATGCAAGATATAAAAAACGCAGAGGTCAGACTATGGTCAGAGAAGGCTCAGGGAGACAGTCTGCAAGGCAACTATGTGTCAGATCTGGTTAGTTATGCTTCTGTCAGCCTTTAAGGAAAACAATGTTCAAGAACTGCAGAGCATTTGGGACAGCTGGAAAAGCGACCAGAAACGGAAATTTTGTAACATCCTAAATATCGGGTTAGTGACCAAATTGTAAAATTTAAGAATTTGGTGATTAAAACAGAATAGTTGAATAGTTCAATTATTTATTTGTGGATATTTCCTGAAAGTTATTAGTAATTATTAAAGGAATTAAAGGGAAAAATCGTCATTTGTCATGAAAGATATTTTTTTATCTCTTTAAAAAGAGATAAACACGTTGGGGG